AAAGACTGCCACAGTTCTCTTCTTCTGGCTTCCTCTGGCTAAATGTCTCCATTAAATTAAATATTTTCAAAAACGATTATTCATTAAATATTAAGTTGCTAGAAGATTCTGCAGGTAGCACAGAAAGCTAGCATTTAGAAATGAAAATTTCAAAAGTAAAGAAGAGAAACACCCTTTAGCCATGCTATGACTGTTGATGCTGCACATTTTGTCCACCAGAGGGCGCTCTGCAGCGTCCCTGTTGGCAGCAGGTCTTTGGGCCACAAACACAGCCTGCTGATCTGAGCAGAGTTGGGCAGAACATAAACAAATAAAGTGTTAGCTTATTTTTGTTTGGAATTAAAATTCCTGCATGTAAGGTTGAGTTCAGGTACTCGACTTTATCCCGAACTGTTGGCATGATGATTGTGATGATTCAGATATCGTCATTATTCGGTTTCCTGCAGCTAGGTTTGACGGTGTCCCGGAAGAATCGAGGGTAACGTTGCAGCAAACCATTGCCAAAGTTACAAATGGTGTCCTTGCGTCAACTTAATGTAGCTTGTTTGCATTCAGATTGTGCAAGACACAGAAAGATACAGTGATGTTTTAAAAATGTAATATTTGTGCCTACAGGACAGTATTGACACAGATAAAGTCTTTAACCTCTGGGTTTACACAAATCCAGATTAAAACTTTAACTTCCAGGTTTTAGTGACACATCACTCTAATCCTCATTAAATTGGTGCCCTCAAGCTCCTACAGTACTCACAGCTCAGTTCGATGCGAATGAAGTCTTTGATGCCCAGGTTTTCCAGGAACACACCAGAGGAGCCCGTGGTTTTAAAAAGGAAGGAGATGTCGGCGCTCAGCTCTCCATGGAAGGTGGGGAAGTGCAGGTACGACGTCTCCTTGTCGAAAAATGCGGCATTCCAGAAGTTCTCTAAGAAGCATGATAAAAACTTTGTGTCATGAACATTAAATGTAGCTCATAACACTTATTTATCAATGTTGTGAAGCATTTACACAGTGACTGGAACAGCAATCAATGAAAACAAGAACAAAGTCAGTGCGATACTTTGACTTTGATTTACCTTGCATTTTATTCTTAATGAGAAGCAGTTAACAGAGAATAAAGACTTAAAAGGAAACATGGATTAGTAACAGTTATGTTAGTGATAGCTAGAAGGAGGAGGAGGTGCTGAACCCATAAGAATCCATTTAATTCATAATTAATTAAACATTAGACACATAATCGTTTTTTCTAAGCTTGATACTTAATAAAAACTTCTAGTCTATTTTTTTTTAATTTAGTACTCAGCATCTTTTTCATCAAGGAAATGGCATTACTTCCATAATTCATAGATCTGTGTCACATGACTGAGATCTCAAGGGAAAGTTCCAACAAGCTGCCCAAAATGGGCCACAAGCTTGTCAACCTTCTGTTTCTGTTCACAAACATCTGACCTCCTCTAAAAAGCAGGGAAACAAACGTGTTTGAATAGACTTTCTGAATTTCTAAAAAGAGCAAAGTCCAAGTCAGAGCATCATGATGTTTAAAAATATCTTGTAGACAAATCATATCTGTAACCTGCTTCCAGGATCAAAGTGTACAATAAAACAGACTGCTTTATGTATTTCCTTTCGTGATTGGTTAAAAATGTCACCATTTCAGAACGGTGAAGACCATGAAATTCGCCAGTGTCAAAGGTTAGGCTTTGATTAAAATGGGACATATCCAGTTGGAATAGATGTTTAATCCCAGTGAAACTTGTCCAAACCAATAAAATCATCGTTAAGCCCTTCCTACCAACTGTCCAAACTGATGAAATCAACGTTAAAACTTGTTCAAAGCTGTCCAAACCAATTAAGTAGATGGTTAACTTTTCAGAAACCAGTCCAAATTAATGCATGACCACAACTTAACTCGTCTAAACCAATGATATTGATGCTTAACACCTCCAAAAACACTGCCCAAATTCAGCATTTAAACGAATTAAAATACATGGGCTGTTAAATGGTTAAGCTTTAATGCTGCCCTATTCTACAGTTTGCAGACAGGCATACTTGTGCAATGTGGACATTTGGTATGGCAGATTTAGGACAATGACGGCAAGTCATTAGTGCATATTATTTAACAACCATCCAGTATTTTGGCTAAACAAACCTGTTATAAAAAACAACTGGCAGGCAGCGATAGAGAGCTTTGTTTTGCCTTCCAGGTGGTCATTTATATAATGATGTGTGGTCACATAAAACCTATAAATAGGATGATTTTTGTCAGCTTTCCGTCTGCTGTAACCAAGCAGTTATGGAGACTTACTGTCTCCATGGCAACGGAGTGGTCCCACCCGGTAGGCAGCCTCCGACCCTGGCCTCTGGATGTCACCCAGCACCAAAGACCTAACCGGGAGGGTGTCCTTATGGGTCAGAAGGCCTGAATCTTCAGTCCTGTAAAGAGGAAGATGAGAAAGGAAGCACAGATGAAGAAAAGTAAGCAGGGAGAAGGAAAAGGTGGTGAGAGATTGAGAGAGAGCAGGAGACAAGGGAGAGAAGAAACACATGAAGAATGATTAGGAAGGAAAACGGGAAAGAAGAGGAATCGATGAAAAAGGAAGTTGGAGTAGGAGCAAGAAAAATGAGAACAGAGGGAAGAAGATGAGAAAAACCACGAAAAAGGACAAATTACTTTTTATTGGGATTAACTGCTTTGACATGTATGCTAATTAGGCTAATTTGCTTGCATAAATCTCCAAGCAAATGGCACTGCTGAAAAAAAGTCTAAACTGCTGTAATAATCTGCCACAACCTGTTTTATGTGCAAGACAAATTTTCAAGAAGACAATTTAACAGCGAGACAGATCGTATCATATCCAACCTGACACTCAACACTCCATCTCCGCCAGTTTCTGTGACAGCCTTTTCCAAAAGCGCTCTCCAGACAGACAGCCGAACGAGCAGCGCCGTCCGTTTACACACGTGTTCAGATAATCTACAAGACAGTCTCGCTGTCAGGTGAGAATTTTATCCAAGACTGGAAATGAGTGGCATACTCGCAAAGCAGATCTGTGAAGCCTGTGTCTGCGCTGAAAAGCTTGACAGCGAGATGAGAGAAAGTAGAAGGTGAAGTGTGATGAAAGTAGCAGGATTGTTCACAGCACGAAGAACGGTAAGTAAAGAGCAATAATTTATTACTCGAGGCTAGAAAGTCTGTTTCTCCGCGTATTCAAAAACAAGTCATATTCAAAATAATTAATCCCACAATCTGAAAGGATTAACACAAGAATTTGATCATAAATAAATACCTGCCTACTTTAGTGTTTTCTTTTATCTTTTAGAAATTACAGCTTTTGGTGTACCTAAGTTTTTAAATGCATGGGAGGTAACCTGAAAAATGATCATACAAACTCTAAATCTAAGCCCAAAAGAGAGAGCACATACCTAATACCTGCTGATGCTGCATTTTTTAAATTACAGGTAGAGAGCTGAGTGTGCTACTGAGAGCCAAGACTCTGCAGGTTTTGTTTTACAACCCAAACTCCACCTGTCTGATTAGCAGAGAAGACTTCATTAGCAAACTCACTCGCTGAGTTGATTAGTTAGACAAAAAACCCTGCACACTGGCATGTGGTTGGTAAATAATTCATTCCAGTACAAACAAATCACTAACAAACCAAAAGTTACCACAGAGAGGAGGAAACCCCTCAAACTAGATTGGATCATTAATGTTGGACTGTGGCAGGGCTACCATAGTTTAATTTATGAAATAATGTTGAGAGAGCAAACTTGGCATGAAATGAACAAAGTAATAATAATGCCAATGAATTTTTAAAGGTCAGTACCACTCCAGGCGATCTGCATCACAGTTGCAGTAGTGTTGTAGATCCACGCAGTCGCCCTGCAGGCCGCAGGCACACTGCTGGCTTCCTGGATGAGCTCCTCCCCAGTAAGTCTGGACTCGACCTTGACCTGGACCGCCGAGCCACCAGCTAAATGGAGAGCCCTCTGAAACACACAGTCATGTTCATGTGTAGCTTCAACATAATTTTTTTTACTACTACAACTTCTATTATTATTATTATTATTATTATTATTATTATTATTATTAAATAACACCAACTAAGGAATCCTTAAATGTTTATCCTTCTACTTCTTTTTACCTATTGCTGAGTTGAAAACTGCAACGCAATCAAAAGGCTAAATTAAAAATATTTAATTGAGATGGACAGCCAGGGATTTCCAAGGACTGGCTCGTCAGTCGCATGGATGTCTCATTATGAGCCAGTTAATTTCAGTCTCTCCAAACAGCCATACACAAACTCATAGATGCATGCTAACACATCATTAGCATAGAAGTTCTTTATTTTGAGTGGAGACACAAAGTTCATCAAACTGTGAGGAGATTGCCGCAAAATGTTCTCAACAACAAACCTAATTCGAACCTAAATCCTCCCGACTCTGCTGAATATGAACATTTTAAAGACACCCATAAATCAAAGTGGCTAAAGTTAAAGTTATGCAGATCTCAGATCCAGCTCCAAGCCAGCAGCCTCGGTATAAGCAAAGAATCAAAGCAGCTATCAGACACATTATGGAGAGTTGTTACGTAAATCTGTTGCACCTGCTTTTGTTTGGTAAGGTAAAATGTGTTGGGTAAAGGTGGTTCAATAGCAGCTCATCTTCAGCTAATTGTTTTCACTTCTACCACCAGTAGCATTTTGTTTTCAATTGTTTCAGTGAGAGAAGATCCTGTGATTTACTTGAAGTTTTGGAGGAAACTGTAAAGTTGAACTTTTTTGTAATTGTGAAAATAATATACTGCATAGAGTAACAGTTTAGTTTTCTTTGTATATCCTGTCAATTATTGTTCTGATAAGGAAAATTGGTATTGGCTAAAATCCATATCCTCAATTCAAAGATAAAAATCATAATCGGCCAAGAAAAATTCACTCAGTGCATCTCTAATATCTAAACTACAGCTAGACTGCTTACGCATTGGGAAATGTCAAAGTCTTTCATTTCATAACTGGTATAATTTTCCTACACTAACAGATATTCTTCCTGTCAAATCAAAGAAATGTTTATCTTTATTCTCAAAGACTGAGCACATCTTATTTAACTTCAGCCTGCTGCTCTCAGTGCCAGCCCAAATTAGCTGACTGCAACTGATGCACTTCTGCAGATCCTTTACTCAAACCTCAGGAAATATCAGAACTCTCACTACAGCATGCGTGCCTTCTAAATACAGGCTTTTTACTTTTAATTTACCATCAATCTAATTCCTCCTTTTAAAAATAATCTTCAGAAAACCTGTGGAGCTTCCAATGCTTGAAACAGACAAATCTCTCTCTTACAACTGTTTTCACTGATTTCAATAAACGGAGCCTAAAAAAGAAGCAGGAGATGGAAAGACAAGGTTCTGCATTTGGAAACTTGTAGAGGGTGTTTTTGGTCAAATTAAATT